AAAAAAAAAAAAAAAAAAAAAAAAAAAAGAGACAGCATGTTATCAATACCATCAACTTCCCCTCACAGGTCAGAGGGCTGCCTGGGGACATCACACTCAACATCACTCCAGAAACGAAATCTTCTGAGCTACTGTTAGCTCTGTGGGCTTCCTAAAATCATTTGAAATTTTGCCACATTTCCAAAGTCAGTCTACAGTCAAGTGCTACCAAGATGTCAAAAATTAAATAAATAAATATATATATGTATGTCACAATACCTGGATCTCTAGAACTTTCTGTTATCATCCCAATTCAGTCTCCTTCTCTTTCTTTCTTTAGGAAGACCTAAAACAATATATATTAATTCATTCTGGCAAGGAATAGCACAGACAGAAACCTGCTTTCTGAACATTACTGCTTGGGGAATGCGGACAGTTTCAGCGTGGCTGCAGCCGTGGCGTCCGGGTGGTGATGAGCAGGGGCAGGGCAGGGTGCCCAGACAGGGGCACTGTTTAGAAAGCAGGTGAAGACAGCAGCCAGCAAAGGTCACTAAGGCAGAATGAGCTTAGAGGCGGGAAACTGAGACTATGGAAGGAAGGAGTAATAAACTAGTCAGTGGAATTTGGCCTCTAGGAGCTCACTAGTCACAAGGAGCCAAAAAAGGCAATAAAACCAACACCTACCACTTACGCAGATTTACGGTTTAAAGCAAACAACAACAAAATATTAACCTAACCATTCTTCATAGCAGCATCCAATGGACTGTTAGTCAGGAATTCCTACTCAACCATCACATATTCCAAAGATTCCCCGACCTGGAAACCTGGTTACTAAAAGGTGTATCTATATATCTATACTTTCCACTGCTAACCCAAATTCTAATTGGTTTAATCCAGTTTCCCAGGCAAGGCAGGTTAGCTGCAGCAAAAGTAAGGACCAGGCATTTCCGGAGGCAGCATTCTGCCCAAACCACGAAATGGCAGAAAGAGACAAACCTGATGCAAAACAAACAGGAGAACTCAAAAAGCCTGGAGGCCAGACCACTCAGTGAGGGCCACGGCTGTCTGCACTTCAGCAGGACTGTGTTAGACAACAGGCGTCACTGATCAGAATCACAAGCAAAAGTCACCAAGAAAAGACTATATTCTGGTTAGAAAGTGTTCAATTTTAAAACATTCTTGGAGACTGACTCCCAAAAGGTGAAGCACGCTCCATGGAGAATTCGCTTACCTAGAACAGGTAACTTCCTACATGGTAGAATAAATGATAATGTGCTGTTCCAATCACTCAATTTTATGTTAGTTTCAATACAACTTTAAGTACACGTGTACAACTTAAGCACACATTTACCACCTTAAAAACAAACAATGAGGCAATCATTTAGTCACACCTAGCCATATAGCTGAGCTGTTATTTTAATGACTCACTCAATTGCTAAGCTTCTCTCGGTTGGTCCAAGGGAGCTAAAGAAATCAACAGCTACTTCAGAAGTGCACTTTTAGTATTTTCCAGAACCAAGACAGAAATTTGAGATGCTTAGCTCATGCTTCCCAGTTCCCCAAAAAAATCCCAAAAAGTGATTCTTTGACGGATTTTATGCTTCAGAAAAATAAGTTTCCACACAGCTCATGTGTGAATGACACCTCTATGTTCATTTCTGGTTCCTTCCTCAATCAGGTTCCTAAAATCAGTTGTCCCTCTAAGGGACCTATTAATTTTTATGAGAAATCTTTGAGGATTTTAGTTGTAGTTATACTAAAATATCCCACTGAAACTTACTCATAACATGAAACAAATTATTTATGGACCCTTAAAATACAAATCACCCTTTATTCAAACTCATCTCATTTTACCTTCAAACTTGCCTCCAAAATCCTATGGACTACTAAATTGTAGCACGTTTTTTGAGTAAATTAGTAAACATCTTTAGCTGTTCTAATTATTAAAAAGACACTTTGGATTCCTGTAATATGTTTTTTATTGTTGTTGTCTGAGACGGAGTTTTGCTCTTGCCACTCAGGCTCAAGTGCAGTGTCATGATCTTGGCTCACTGCAACCTTTGCCTCCCGGGTGCAAGCGATTCTCCTGCCTCAGCCTCCCGAGTAGCTAGAATTACAGGTGCCCGCCACCACACCCAGCTAATTTTTGTATTTTTAATAGAGATGGTGTTTCGCCATGTTGGCCAGGCTGGTCTCAAACTCCTGACCTCAGGTGATCCACCCGCCTAAGCCTCCCAAAGTGCTGGGATTACTTTTTTAATAATGAATTCTTAGAATTTCTGTATCTTGAGCTATTGATACACATAACAATGCAGATGTATCTCAAGGCTAAGTGAAAAAAAACCTCAATTTTATTGAGAAGACACACAGGCATAGATTCACACTCACTAGTGCGTGTATAGGTGGTGTGATCTCAACAGGTCAGGGGATTTGATCAAAGAAAATTTCCTGCGTATACTATGGTTTTGCACGGTGCTACCATTGGAGGAAACAGGGTAAAGGCACTCTGCAGGATTTCTCTGTATTACTCCTTACAACTTCATGTGAATCTACAACCATCTCAAAATGAAAACGTTTTCAAATTCTACCTAAGGCCGGGTGCGGTGGTTCATGCCACTGCTGTATTATGCCACACTTATCTGTATTCCCAGCGCTCTGGGAGGCTGAGGTGGGCGAATGCTTGAGGCCAGGAGTTAGAGACCAGCCTGGGTAACATAGCAAGACCCCGTCTCTATTAAAAATGAAATAATTAGTCGGGCGTGGTGCCCCCTGTGGCCCCAGCTCCTGGGGAGGCTGAGGCGGGAGAATCGCTTGAGCCTTGGACCAGCCCCTGCACTCCAGCCTGGGCGACAGCAAAACTCTGTTTCAACAACAACAAAAAAGCTTCAGAATATTTAAGTCAAGCCTGTAGGAGAAAAAGCCACAAATATTTCACTAAGTACTCCAAACATTAAGACACTCCTTTTGGAAAAACCAGTAAATAAGTTAAATTTGGAAGACAGAACAATCAGAAAAACAGGCAGTGACTAAGGACCCGATGCGTAGCGATCTTGTTTCCCTGCGCAGGCGTCCATACCCCGCCTCATGGACACCACCAGGAGCCGTTAGGAGCCACAGGAGGGGCGCCAGGGACAGGGCTGCCCTGGAGGCCCCGAGTCCACCCGCGCGGCCAGGATGGGAATGCAGGTCCCATTGCAGGTTAGAACGTGGGCCTCGGCGAAGAGCGCCTGGGCAAGGCCTGGAGGAGCGGGACCCCAGGCCACAGAGACCACCCGACCCCGGGAGACAGCACTTGCAAGAGAAGGGGAGCCCCGGAAAGGGAGGGAAGGAAGGGGAGCCCCAGGGAGGGAAGGAAGGAAGGAAGGAAAGGGACCACTGGGAAGGGAGGAAGGGAAGGGGAGCTCCGGGGAGGGAGGGAGGGGAGGGGAGCCCCAGGGAGGGAGGGAAGGAAGG